TTTTCAGCTGGCTCAAATAAATTAATTATCACCGCCGGCATTTGGGGTTGCTGCTGCTTCACTTCGGACTGCTGTTTTGTGTCGAGATGTCTTTTCAGCGCCGTCGTTGAGTAGCCTTTGTAAGAATAGACCGTTTTGCAAAGATAGCAAGTAGCCCTGGTCTTCGCTGCATCGCGGGAGAAAACTTCCAAACGACTGAGCGTAACTTTCACTCAAATGGAGAGGTGACCCAAGCATATCCTGCGACAGGTCAGCAGATGTGGAACAAGACATCAGTAGAGTCCACCAAAGCTGCAACGACAACTGAAACAACTCAAGTGTCGTGCAGACATACAGTCACTGTAACTGCGAGTGATTTTCACTTTGCGCGGGACTGGACTCTCAATCGACCAGGGAGTCGTAAAATATTTTACGACTCCCGGTCGACATGTACTGCCATGTGTACGGAGTACGGTGTACGGTGTTCGTTAGTGCTAACGAGCTGGCCGCACAAACGAGCCGAATTTCTGGCGAGCGAGCTAACGAGTACCCGGTGAGATCGTTTCAACACTAATTTTTTGTGATTTGATTTTGATTTTGGCGAGTTCGATCATTATAGCCGGTATATCGTTACACCCGGTCACTTTATAAACGATACTCACTGTACATGTTAAGGTTACCTGACGCCATGCTGGCCTGTATAGATGCCAAATAGTCACGGTGAAGAGATCGAGATAAGTTTCGTACTCTGTTACGCTGAACTTTGAAGGCAGACTGGTTAGTTGGGGTTGGGAACTTCCTATATCGGCTGTAGAGTTCGTACTTCAACTTAATGGCAAGTACTAAATCTCGATTAACCCACGGAGGATATTTCCTAGATACAGCTCGCTGGGTGGAGGAAGAGATTTTCCGATAAGGCGACAGGTAGTGGGAAAATGCATCATTCAAGGAAGAGGAGAATCTGGCTAATGCGTCGTCGACATCTGGTGTGTCCATGAGATCATACCAGTTGAGCGAGGAAAGATACATATTTACTGCTACCCAGACAGAAGGTGGCACTTGCGCAAAATTGTATGGAGTGGCTGGGGAACTACGGGCAGGATAGCATGGTACTTCCTTTGCAGGCGTTCGGGTTACAGTTCTGTAGAAAAGGGTGGTAACTACCTGTGAATGGTCGGACGCACCAAGCGGGGCAGCATCGTCGACAGAGAATACTGATTGAGGACGATTGGTAGCGAGCAAGTCTAGGCACGACAGGGTTCCGTTAGGAGAGGTGTGAGTGGGAAAATCTACCAGCTGGGAGAGACCGAAGCTGGAGAATATATGCGAAAGTTCCTTTCCAGCGCGTGATGTAGCGTCACCGCTCCACCAGTCAGAGTTGTGAGCATTGTAGTCACCAGTGAGGGATATATCAACGGATGAGAGGTCTACAGTATCCGTCATCATGTCACAAAATGAGGTAAGTTCAGGTAGGGATTGCGAAGGAGGGCGATACTGACAGCCAATGAGTATAGGATTAGCACCCAGGTCTGCAGGAAGTCCAAGCTCAACCCATATGTTTTCGCATTGGGGAGAGTCAAGGTCTGAGCGCTGGGCTGCATGCAAAAATGTCCCATCTCGTACAAGGATGGCAACACCACCATAACCTCGGAACTGGGCCCTTTGGTTTGCTGGTATTGGCCTATCTCGACGGAAGCACGTATAACCGGGTACACTGAGCATATGTATCGGGCAGAGCCAGGTTTCTGTCAGACATAGGATAGTCGGTGTGTTGGATCGACACAATGCATGGAGTTCAGGGATTTTGTTCGACACGGAGCGACAATTAATCGTAACAATAGTGATATTATGTTGAGTCTTAGGAAAATATGGGAAGGCCCGGGCGCTCAGCGGTGCGGAAGCCATCATTCTGACGACGTGGAGGTTTTACCTGGTTTGTTCGTATTTGAATCTGCAAACCGCCACTGTCTTACGGTGTGCTGGATAGTTGCAGGCCAGAATCCGTCACCCAGTACCTTTTCCGTAGCTGAGGCTGGGAATGTCACTCTGGCGTAAGCTGTTCCGAAGGTGCGGGATTCCAAGATGGTGCAGTTGAGCACATCCACTGCACGCTCTTGGCACCAATCCTTGATGGAGTCGGCACTGCAGCCCATGTGGACGTTTCCTACATAGAATATCGCTTTGTCCACCTTTTCGACACCTGTCAGGACTACAGGGTTTGTTTCGACCGTGGGCATAGGCTTGACGTACCGAGATGTGACCCGACGTCGTACAACATCTACCCAAGAGCTCTGTCCATCTGATTTGTTGCGGGAACTGCTGTCCGTACTAGTGACGTGACCGTTGCTAGCAGGTCTAGGTGCTGTACGAGTAGTGTCTCTGGACTGGGAAGCGGCACGTGGTTGCGAGTGCATACCGGTAGTACGGTCATTTGAACTTGAGCGTGCATGCTGCGATGTGGAGGTGTGCTGTGATTGCGGTGCAGTGGTGATGGATGTCTCAGTTTCATACAGGGAGGGCTCTACGGTAACTTCGTTAGCACTTGTGCGACGGTTGTGGGTGTCATTGGCAGTTTGAGAAAGTGCGCCTGTAGTGAAGTTCCTCAGCTCTAGTACTTCCAATTTTAGGCTGGAAACCTCATCCCGAAGTGAAGAAACAATGGCATTATCATGCTTCGCTTGCTCAAGTTGCTCTCTTAGCTCTATCACTACACATACAAGCTCGTTTAGAGACTTCAGACTACTACTAGTAGTACTGACCTCATTGGCCTTGATCGGGGTTACACCCACACCAGCTTGTCTTAGGGAAACCACAAGTTCAACTCGGCTCTTTGACTCGGCTCCGTCAATAGGATGTTGTTTGGCAAGATGCCGCAGCTCTTCGAAAGTCAGCAAGGCGAGGTCAATGTCCATATTCAATGCCATATGCCAGTCCTAGTCTAGCAACATGCGCCTTACATCAGCTGTGGGTGATATGGCTAAGAGGTAACCATGCCCGTGAACCCCTTCGGATTAGGTTATACGGCAGCTTTATTCTCCCAATACTTCTTTATAACTGCGGCACATGGAGCCTGACAGAGACTCAAGAAAAGAAACTTGACTCGTTCCACCGCCAGCAGTTACGAGCAGTCATAGGGGTCAAATATCCCCGTATAATACGCAATGAAGCACTGTACAAGCGCACTGGCTCCAAGCCACTCAGCAGAATCATCCAGTCTGCTAGGTGGAGAATGTTTGGCCACATGCTTCGACTAGACACCTCATCCCCGGTCCAGCAGGCTATGTCGGCATACTTTCAGCCAGGAAGCTCAGGGTTCCGAGGCCGCCCGAGAACAACACTCCCGCGATCCATCAACAACGACCTGAAAAATTCCAGATCCACAAACTCCCTCACATCACACGAGGATCTAGTTGCACTGAGGCAGCTCGCCCAGGATCGTCGAAAGTGGAAGGATCTAATGTGTGCTGTGTGTAATGGCTGAAGTTATACAATTACACTAGATACCCTTAACAATAATAACGGATACAATTACACTAGATACCCTTAACAATAATAACGGATACAATTACACTAGATACTCTAGATACTAGAGACTCGGTACTCTAGATACTAGATACTCTAACAATTTTATCAAACATTATGATAATTACCACATCAAATGCTGCGGAGACCTATCCAGAATCGGCAATATGCTGGCCCTGGCCTGGAGATCTGCAACTATAATCAGCTTCTACTTTGCAACACTAACGGATTAGTCCCCTTTGTCGATTGATGGATCAATCGGTAGATTCGGCTCTGTTTTTCTTCCCTTTCTTTCTTGTTTTGAATTGTACGTTGAACTCATTGGATTTCTTTGTATTCTGTATCTCGTTATCGTTATATTTCCCTCTAGCCCTCTCGCTTAGGATGAGCTTTCTTTTTTATGGCAGCTTAAGCGAAGGCTATATACCTGCTTTATGCAGGTTGATGCCAACGCGAACAAGCAAAATAATAATAATAAATAATATTCCTAGTGTGTCCAGATCAAGTTCTCTGCCACAGGTACCGAAAGTAAGCGGAGCATAAAAACTTGCATCCGCACCTTACCCATGTAATCTCTCACTTTGCGACTAAACTATTCACAGCAGTGCCACATTTTCTCGGTCACTGAATGTGGGTGCCAGCGCCCTACAAGCAAACCAAAAATCAAATCAATGCGACCACTGACATTACAGCTGGGTCATGTTAGAGAGGTACATTGAAATTCAAAGGTCAGCACAAATGGTCAAAATCCGACATTTTCTCACCTTCCTGCCCGTTCGCAGCTCAGAAAATGACAATGACCAGCCTCATCTCGTTGTGCAGCTGGACATAGACAAGTGCACCAAGAAAAAGAGCCACATTTCTCTAAAGAACTTGCACAGGGCTGCTGAAAGCTGAAAAATAACCAATCTCACAGTTTGGGGCTTTTTACCCGTGAATCTTCACTTTGCGACTAAACTATTCACAGCAGTGCCACATTTTCTGGGTCACTGAATGTGGGTGCCAGCGCCTTACAAGCAAACCAAAAATCAAATCGATGCGACCACTGACATTACAGCTGGGTCATGTTATAGAGAGGTACATTGAAAATCAAAGGTCCCCACAAATGGTCAAAATCCAACATTTTCTTACCTTCCTGCCCGTTCACAGCTCTAAAAATGACAATGACCAGCCTCATCTCTTTGTGCAGCTCGACATAGACAAGTGCACCAAGAAAAAGAGCCACGTTTCTCTAAAGAACTCGCCCAGGGCTGCTGAGCCCTGAAAAATAACCAATCTCACAGTTTGGGGCTTTTTACCCGTGAATCTTCACTTTGCGACTAAACTATTCACAGCAGTGCCAAATTTTTGGGGTCACTGAATGTGGGTGCCAGCGCCCTAATATCAAACAAAAAAACCAAATCAATGCGACCACTGACATTACAGCTGGGTCATGTTATAGATAGGTACATTGAAATTGAAAGGTCAGCACAAATGGTCAAAATCCGACATTTTCTCACCTTCCTGCCCGTTCACAGCTCAGAATATGACAATGACCAGCCTCATCCCGTTGTGCAGCTGGACATAGACAAGTGCACCAAGAAAAACAGCCACATTTCTCTAAAGAACTTGCCCAGGGCTGCTGAAGCTGAAAAATAACCAATCTCACAGTTTGGGGCTTTTTACCCGTGAATCTTCACTTTGCGACTAAACTATTCACAGCAGTGCCACATTTTCTGGGTCACTGAATGTGGGTGCGGCGCCCTACAAGCAAACCAAAAATTAAATCAATGCGACCACTGACATTACAGCTGGGTCATGTTATAGAGAGGTACATTGAAATTCAAAGGTCAGCACAAATGGTCAAAATCCGACATTTTCTCACCTTCCTGCCCGTTCACAGCTCAGAAAATGACAATGACCAGCCTCATCTCGTTGTGCAGCTCGACATAGACAAGTGCACCAAGAAAAAGAGCCACGTTTCTCTAAAGAACTCGCCCAGGGCTGCTGAGCCCTGAGAAATAACCAATCTCACAGTTTGGGGCTTTTTACCCGTGAATCTTCACTTTGCGACTAAACTATTCACAGCAGTGCCAAATTTTCTGGGTCACTGAATGTGGGTGCCAGCGCTCTACAAGCAAACCAATAATCAAATCAATGCGACCACTGACATTACAGCTGGGTCATGTTATAGAGAGGTACATTGAAATTCAAAGGTCAGCACAAATGGTCAAAATCCGACATTTTCTCACCTTCCTGCCCGTTCACAGCTCAGAAAATGACAATGACCAGCCTCATCTCGTTGTGCAGCTGGACATAGTCAAGTGCACCAAGAAAAAGAGCCACATTTCTCTAAACAGCTTTCACAGGGCTGCTGAAAGCTGAAAAATAACAAATCTCACAGTTTAGGGCTTTTTACCCGTGAATCTTCACTTTGCGACTAAACTATTCACAGCAGTGCCAAATTTTGGGGTCACTGAATGTGGGTGCCAGCGCCCTTACAAGCAAACCAAAAATCAAATCAATGCGACCACTGACATTACAGCTGGGTCATGTTATAGAGAGGTACATTGAAATTGAAAGGTCAGCACAAATGGTCAAAATCCGACATTTTCTCACCTTCCTGCCCGTTCACAGCTCAGAAAATGACAATGACCAGCCTCATCCCGTTGTGCAGCTGGACATAGACAAGTGCAGCAAGAAAAACAGCCACATTTCTCTAAAGAACTTGCCCAGGGCTGCTGAAAGCTGAAAAATAACCAATCTCACAGTTTGGGGCTTTTTACCCGTGAATCTTCACCTTGCGACTAAAATATTCACAGCAGTGCCAAATTTTTTGGGTGACTGAATGTGGGTGCCAGCGCCCTACAAGCAAACCAAAAATCAAATCAATGCGACCACTGACATGACATCTGGGGCATGTTATAGAGAGATACTTTGAAATTCAAAGGTCAGCACAAATGGTCAAAATCCGACATTTTCTCACCTTCCTGCCCGTTCACAGCTCAGAAAATGACAATGACCAGCCTCATCTCGTTGTGCAGCTGGACATAGACAAGTGCACCAAGAAAAAGAGCCACATTTCTCTAAAAAAACTTGCACAGGTCTGCTGAAAGCTGAAAAATAACCAATCTCACAGTTTGAGGCTTTTTACCCGTGAATCTTCACTTTGCGACCAAACTATTCACAGCAGTGCCAAATTTTCTGGGTCACTGAATGTGGGGGCCAGCGCCCTACAAGCAAACCAAAAATCAAATCAATGCGACCACTGACATTACATTGAAATTCAAAGGTCAGCACAAATGGTCAAAATCCCACATTTTCTCACCTTCCTGCCCATTCACAGCTCAAAAAATGACAATGACCAGCCTCATCTCGTTGTGCAGCTGGACATAGACAAGTGCACCAAGAAAAAGAGCCACATTTCTCTAAAGAACTTGCCCAGGGCGGCTGAAAGCTGAAAAATAACCAATCTCACAGTTTGGGGCTTTTTACCCGTGAATCTTCACTTTGCGACTAAACTATTCACAGCAGTGCCACATTTTCTGGGTCACTGAATGTGGATGCCAGCGCCCTACAAGCAAACCAAAAATCAAATCAATGCGACCATTGACATTACACCTGGGTCATGTTATAGAGAGGTACATTTAAATTCAAAGGTCAGCACAAATGGTCAAAATCCGACATTTTCTCACCTTCCTGCCCGTTCACAGCTCAGAAAATGACAATGACCAGCCTCATCTCGTTGTGCAGCTCGACATATACAAGTGCACCAAGAAAAAGAGCCACATTTCTCGAAAGAACTTGCCCAGGGCTGCTGAAAGCTGAAAAATTACCAATCTCACAGTTTGGGGCTTTTTACCCGTGAATCTTCACTTTGCGACTAAACTATTCACAGCAGTGCCAAATTTTTGGGTTCACTGAATGTGGGTGCCAGCGCCCTACAAGCAAACCAAAAGTCAAATCAATGCGGGAACTGGCATTACAGCTGGGTCATGTTATAGAGAGGTACATTGAAATTCAAAGGTCAGCACAAACGGTCAAAATCCGACATTTTCTCACGTTCCTGCCCGTTCACAGCTTAGAAAATGACAATGACCAGCCTCATCTCGTTGTGCAGCTGGACATAGACAAGTGCACCAAGAAAAAGAGCCACGTTTCTCTAAAGAACTCGCCCTGGGCTGCTGTGCCCTGAAAAATAACCAATCTCACAGTTTGGGGCTTTTTACCCGTGAATCTTCACTTTGCGACTAAACTATTCACAGCAGTGCCACATTTTCTGGGTCACTGAATGTGGGTGCCAGCGCCCTACAAGCAAACCAAAATTCATTCAATGCGACCACTGACATTACAGCTGGGTCATGTTATAGAGAGGTACATTGAAATTCAAAGGTCAGCACAAATGGTCAAAATCCGACATTTTCTCACCTTCCTGCCCATTCACAGCGCAGAAAATGGCAATGACCAGCCTCATCTCGTTGTGCAGCTGGACATAGACGAGTGCACCAAGAAAAAGAGCCACATTTCTCTAAAGAACTTGCACAGGGCTGCTGAAAGCTGAAAAATAACCAATCTCACAGTTTGGGGCTTTTTACCCGTGAATCTTCACTTTGCGACTAAACTATTCACAGCAGTGCCAAATTTTCTGGGTCACTGAATGTGGGTGCCAGCGCCCTACAAGCAAACCAAGAATCAAATCAATGCGACCACTGACATTACAGCTGGGTCATGTTATAGAGAGGTACATTGAAATTCAAAGGTCAGCCCAAATGGTCAAAATCCGACATTTTCTCACCTTCCTGCCCGTTCACAGCTCAGAAAATGACAATGACCAGCCTCATCTCGTTGCGTAGCTAGACATACACAAGTGCACCAAGAAAAAGAACCACATTTCTCTAAAGAACTCGCCAAGAGCTGCTGAAAGCTGAAAAATAACCAATCTCACAGTTTGGGGCATTTTACCCGTGAATCTTCACTTTGCGACTTAACTAATCCCAGCAGTGCCACATTTTCTGGGTTACTGAATGTGGGTGCCAGGGCCCTACAAGCAAACCAAAAATCAAATCAATGCGACCACTGACATTACAGCTGGGTCATGTTATAGAGAGGTACATTGAAATTCAAAGGTCAGCACAAATGGTCGAAATCCGACATTTTCTCACCTTCCTGCTCGTTCACAGCTCAGAAAATGACAATGACCAGCCTCATCTCGTTGTGCATCTGGACATAGACAAGTGCACCAAGAAAAAGAGCCACATTTCTCTAAAGAACTTGCACAGGGCTGCTGAAAGCTGAAAAATAACCAATCTCACAGTTTGGAGCTTTTACCCGTGAATCTTCACTTTGCGACTAAACTATTCACAGCAGTGCCAACTTTTTGGGGTCACTGAATGTGGGTGGCAGCGCCCTACAAGCAAACCAAAAATCAAATAAATGCGACCACTGACATTACAGCTGGGTCATGTTATAGAGAGGTACCTTGAAATTCAAAGGTCAGAACAAATGGTCAAAATCCGACATTTTCTCACATTCCTGCCCGTTCACAGCTCAGAAAATGACAATGACCAGCCTCATCTCGTTGTGCACCTGGACATAGACAAGTGCACCAAGAAAAAGAGCCACATTTCTCTAAAGAACTCCCCCAGGGCTGCTGAGCCCTGAAAAATAACCAATCTCACAGTTTGGGGCTTTTTACCCGTGAATCTTCACTTTGAGACTAAACTATTCACAGCAGTGCCACTTTTTTTGGGTCACTGAATGTGGGTGCCAGCGCCCTACAAGCAAACCAATAATCAAATCAATGCGACCACTGACATTACAGCTGGGTCATGTTATAGAGAGGTACATTGAAATTCAAAGGTCAGCACAAATGGTCAAAATCCGACATTTTCTCACCTTCCTGCCCGTTCACAGCTCAGAAAATGACAATGACCAGTCTCATCTCGTTGTGCAGCTGGACATAGACAAGTGCACCAAGAAAAAGAGCAACATTTCTGTAAAGAACTTGCACAGGGCTGCTGAAAGCTGAAAAATAACAAATCTCACAGTTTGGGGCTTTTACCCGTGAATCTTCACTTTGCGACTAAACTATTCATAGCAGTGCCACATTTTTGGGGACACTGAATGTGGGTGCCAGCGCCCTACATGCAAACCAAAAATCAAATCAATGCGACCACTGACATTACAGCTGGGTCATGTTATAGAGAGGTACATTGAAATTCAAAGGTCAGCACAAATGGTCAAAATCCGACATTTTCTCACGTTCCTGCCCGTTCACAGCTCAGAAAATGACAATGACCAGCCTCATCCCGTTGTGCAGCTGGACATAGACAAGTGCACCAAGAAAAACAGCCACATTTCTCTAAAGAACTTGCCCAGGGCTGCTGAAAGCTGAAAAATAACCAATCTCACAGTTTGGGGCTTTTTACCCGTGAATCATCACTTTGCGACTAAACTATTCACAGCAGTGCCATATTTTCTGGGTGTGGGTGCCAGCGCCCTCCAAGCAAACTAAAAATAAAATCAATGCGCGTCAGGCGAAATAGCATGTCATAGTGTTGTAGTACGTTATTTTGTGTACGTCGTGTGTACGTCATGTTGGTGCATGCGCGTGTTGCTGTGGTGTAAAAAGCAGTCTTCGTCTCGAGTTCATGATGTCTTCGTCTTGAGTTCATGATGTCTTCGTCTTGAGTTCGTCATGTATAGTTGTGTTTCGTCGTCGTGTCAATAAACAGTCTTCTAAATGTAGTTATCGTCGTCCCTTTGTACAAGTGTGGAGATGGCACGGGACTGGGAGCAGGTAGAGAAAAGCGGGTTACAACAGTGGTGGCAGCGGTAATGGAAATTTGTAAATCTCAACTTCTGGATTCGTCCTGCGTGGCCTTCGCTCCCAGTTTCCGATGTCATCTCCAGTCGTCCTATCGTAACAGTTTCGTCCGTCTTCAAGAAGTTCGTCCGTCGTCCTCGTCCTTCATCATTCGTCTCTCCCGTCTCTTGTCAGTCGTCGTCAGTCGTCGTCACTGGTGGTCCCGGACACGACGTAAAACTGTGCCCAGAAGAAAAGCAAAAAAAAAGAAAAAAAGAAGGACAGATGGTCCCGGACACGACGTAAAACTGTGCCCAGAAGAAAAACTGAAACAGAAAAAAAGAAGGATGGAAGGTGAAGGCTGCAGTGTGAGGATGTGGACGCTGAGCAGCGCTTTGAGATGGCGGACGACATGGCAACACGGCGTGAGGAGTTTCGTTGGTGAGAGGGTACGTGTGTTGTTGTGAACGTGATGAGAATGTGAGTTTTGTATTTTCTGTTCTCCCAACATTTTGTTCTTTATTATTTGCTCTCCTCGAGGGTAAAGAGGCGCCCGCACAGCGCGTGTGTTCTGTTTGTTTTTTGATTTGCTCTTCTATGAGGATAACTAGAGGCCCCCACAGAGCCAGTGGATTCTGTTCTTTTTGTTATTCTTATGATTTGTGCTCTCACATTTTTAGAATTTTTGCGTGATCGTGAGGTGGTGTGTTGAGTGCACTAGTTTTAGAGTTTTTGAGGTTATCAGTTCCCACACGTGTGACAGCGATCGTGGCTGGTGTTCTGGGTGGGCGGACAGAGTTTTTTTTAATAATCTGCAGTGCAGGCAGAGGTATTTTATTTCTGGGTGTGACTGGTGTGGTATGATTGAGTGATTTGTGTGATCTTTTCCTCTTTTTACTCTGTTTTATTATTAGAATCGAGGACGATTCTACTCTTGGGAGGGAGTTATGTTGTGGTACGTTATTTTGTGTACGTCGTGTGTACGTCATGTTGGTGCATGCGCGTGTTGCTGTGGTGTAAAAAGCAGTCTTCGTCTCGAGTTCATGATGTCTTCGTCTTAAGTTCATGATGTCTTCGTCTTGAGTTCGTCATGTATAGTTGTGTTTCGTCGTCGTGTCAATAAACAGTCTTCTAAATGTAGTTATCGTCGTCCCTTTGTACAAGTGTGGAGATGGCACGGGACTGGGAGCAGGTAGAGAAAAGCGGGTTACAACAATAGTACATTCGAGATCAGCGGGAAGAAGATGACGACGTCCACTAATTTAGTATCTGTGCACACGAATCTGCTGTGTGTGTTACTCTGTGTGTCAGCTATGGCATCATCGCCTGTGGTTTCATGCCTAGCATGTACGTCTGAACCATCCTGCAAAGTTTGAATGACGTAGGTTGAGCGATCGCTCCGCGAAACATACTTTTTGAAATTCTCTTCATAGTATATCTTCCACCACTGAAATTTCGAATTTCTTCGAATTTTTTGCTGAGAGGGGTGGCTTGCAACCTCGATATGGCTTGTTCCAGGCATGCTTTGGAGCCATCGCCTGTTGAAACAGTGGCGGGAAGCTGCCCTGCAACTGTTCCAACAGGAAATTAATCGATCCGAGAAAGCGCGAGTCCGCGAATCTCGGTTGAATATTGAGTATTTCAAGCCTTTTCACGACGAAGAAGGAGTTCTTTTTGGAGATGGACGTCGCGGCAAAGGACATGGTGTCCGACTTCTGGCGTCTGGTGAAGCCAGGGATCATTTGTCCAGTCAGCTCGGCAGCCTAATCGTCGGTAAGCTTGTGTTTGGATCCCGTTCTGCTCGATGTGGTAGATCACAAACAATTTGATATCGCACAAATTGTTCTCAGCATCGTGCGTACGGTATTTTATATTCAGAAAATCCCAAAGTGTCTCTGTGTGGCCGTCCCATGCCACGAGAAACTCCAATCAGGCTCCTATGTCCTTTGCCTTCATGATTGAATGTCCACTTCGTTTGAAAAACGAACACAACAATCGAGGACGGCTTTGCAATGAAAAATACAGCTATTCTGGAGCTGAAAAAAAGAAAGAAAAAAACGTGCTCAGGATGAGACTCGAGTACACGCATACTCTCCCAGCAGGTGAAACGCAAAAATTTTGTGAAAAATGCGTGTCGCCGACTGACCAGTAATTTCGCCTGACGGACCACTGACATTACAGCTGGGTCATGTTAGAGAGAGGTACATTGAAATTGAAAGGTCAGCACAAATGGTCAAAATCCGACATTTTCCGACCTTCCTGCCCGTTCACAGCTCAGAAAATAACAATGACCAGCCTCATCTCGTTGTGCAGCTGGACATAGACAAGTGCACCAAGAAAAACAGCCACATTTCTGTAAAGAACTTGCCCAGGGCTGCTGAAAGCTGAAAAATAACCAATCTCACAGTTTGGGGCTTTTTACCCGTGAATCCTCACTTTGCGACTAAACTATTCACAGCAGTGCCACATTTTCTGGGTCACTGAATGTGGGTGCCAGCGCCCTACAAGCAAAGCAAACATCAATTCAATGCGACCACTAACATTAGAGCTGGGTAATGTTATAGAGAGGTACATTGAAATTCAAAGGTCAGCACAAATGGTTTAAAATCCGTCATTTTCTCACCTTCCTGCCCGTTCACAGCCCAGAAAATGAAGATGACCAGCCTCATCTCGTTGTGCAGCTGGTCATAGACAAGTGAACCAAGAAAAAGAGCCACATTTCTCTAAAGAACTTGCCCAGGGCTGCTGAAAGCTGAAAAATAACCAATCTCACAGTTTGGGGCTTTTTACCCGTGAATCTTCACTTTGCGACTAAACTATTCACAGCAGTGCCACATTTTCTGGGTCATTGAATGTGGGTGCCAGCGCCCTACAAGCAAACCAAAAATCAAATCAATGCGACCACTCACATTACAGCTGGGCCATGTTATAGAGAGGTAAATTGAAATTCAAAGGTCAGCACAAATGGTCAAAATCCGACATTTTCTCACCTTCCTGCCCGTTCACAGCTCAGAAAATGACAATGACCAGCCTCATCTCGTTTTGCAGCTGGACATAGACAAGTGCACCAAGAAAAACAGCCACATTTCTCTAAAGAGCTTGCACAGGGCTGCTGAAAGCTGAAAAATAACAAATCTCACAGTTTGGGGCTTTTTACCCGTGAATCTTCACTTTGCGACTAAACTATTCACAGCAGTGCCAAATTTTTGGGGTCACTGAATGTGGGTGCCAGCGCCCTACAAGCAAACCAAAAATCAAATCAATGCGACCACTGACGTTACAGCTGGGTCATGTTATAGAGAGGTACATTGAAATTGAAAGGTCAGCAGCACAAATGGTCAAAATCCGACATTTTCTCACCTTGCTGCCCGTTCACAGCTCAGAAAATGACAATGACCAGCCTCATCTCGTTGTGCAGCTCGACATAGACAAGTGCACCAAGAAAAACAGCCACATTTCTCTAAAGAACTTGCACAGGGCTGCTGAAAGCTGAAAAATAACCAATCTCACAGTTTGGGGCTTTTTACCCGTGAATCTTCACGTTGCGACTATACTATTCACAGCAGTGCCAAATATTTTGAGTCACTGAAAGCAGGTGCCAGCACACTACAAGCAAACAAAAAATCAAATCAATGCGACCACTGACATTACAGCTGGGTCATGTTATAGAGAGGTACATTGAAATTCAAAGGTCAGCACAAATGGAAAAAATCCGACATTTTCTCACCTTCCTGCCCGTTCACAGCTCAGAAAATGACAATGACCAGCCTCATCTCGTTGTGCAGCTGCACATAGACAAGTGCACCAAGAAAAAGAGCCACATTTCTGTAAAGAACTTGCACAGGGCTGCTGAAAGCTGAAAAATAACCAATCTCACAGTTTGGGGCTTTTTACCCGTGAATCCTCACTTTGCGACTAAACTATTCACAGCACTGCCACATTTTCTGGGTCACTGAATGTGGGTGCCAGCGCCCTACAAGCAAACCAATAATCAAATCAATGCGACCACTGACATTACAGCTGGGTCATGTTATAGAGAGGTACATTGAAATTCAAAGGTCAGCCAAACGGTCGAAATCCGACATTTTCTCACCTTCCTGCTTGTTCACAGCTCAGAAAATGACAATGACCAGCCTCATCTCGTTGTGCATCTGGACATAGACAAGTGCAGCAAGAAAAAGAGCCACATTTCTCTAAAGAACTTGCACAGGGCTGCTGAAAGCTGAAAAATAACCAATCTCACAGTTTGGGGCTTTTACCCGTGAATCTTCACTTTGCGACTAAACTATTCGCAGCAGTGCCACATTTTTTGGATCACTGAATGTGGGTGCCAGGGCCCTACAAGCAAACCAAAAATCAAATCAATGCGACCACTGACATTACAGCTGGGTCATGTTATAGAGAGGTACATTGAAATTCAAAGGTCAGAACAAATGGTCAAAATCCGACATTTTCTCACCTTCCTGCCCGTTCACAGCTCAGAAAATGACAATGACCAGTCTCATCTCGTTGTGCAGCTGGACATAGACAAGTGCACCAAGAAAAAGAGCAACATTTCTCTAAAGAACTTGCACAGGGCTGCTGAAAGCTGAAAAAGGACCAATCTCACAGTTTGGGGCTTTTTACCCGTGAATCTTCACTTTGCGACTAAACTATTCATAGCAGTGCCAAATTTTTGGGGTCACTGAATGTGGGTGCCAACGCCCTACAAGCAAACCAAAAATCAAATCAATGCGACGACTGACATTACAGCTGGGTCATGTTATAGAGAGGTACATTGAAATTGAAAGGTCAGCACAAATGGTCAAAATCCGACATTTTCTCACCTTCCTGCCCGTTCACAGCTCAGAAAATGACAATGACCAGCCTCATCCCGTTGTGCAGCTGGACATAGAGAAATGCACCAAGAAAAACAGCTACATTACTCTAAAGAACTTGCACAGGGCTGCTGAAAGCTGAAAAATAACCAATCTCACAGTTTGGGGCTTTTTACCCGTGAATCTTCACTTTGCGACTTAACTATCCACAGCAGTGCCACATTTTCTGGGTCACAGAATGTGGGTGCCAGCGCCCTCCAAGCAAACCAAAAATCAAATCAATGCGACCACTGACATTACAGCTGGGTCATGTTATAGAGAGGTACATTGAAATTCAAAGGTCAGCACAAATGGTCAAAATCCGACATTTTCTCACCTTCCTGCCCGTTCACAGCTCAGAAAATGACAATGACCAGCCTCATCTCGTTGTGCAGCTCGACATAGACAAGTGCACCAAGAAAAAGAGCCACATTTCTCTAAAGAACTTTCACAGGGCTGTTAATAGCTGAAAAATAGCCAATCTCACAGTTTGGGGCTTTTTACCCCTGAATCTTCACTTTGCGACTAAACTATTCACAGCAGTGCCACATTTTCTGGGTCACTAAATGTGGGTGCCAGCGCCCTACAAGCAAACCAAAAATCAAATCAATGCGATCACTGACATTACAGCTGGGTCATGTTATAGAGAGAAACATTGAAATTCAAAGGTCAGCACAAATGGTCAAAATCCGACATTTTCTCACCTTCCTGCCCGTTCACAGCTCAGAAAATGACAATGACCAGCCTCATCTCTGTGTGCAGCTGGACATAGACAAGTGCACCAAGAAAAAGACCCACATTTCTCTGAAGAACTCGCCCAGGGCTGCTGAGCCCTGAAAAATAACCAATCTCACAGTTTGGGGCTTTTTACCGATGAATCTTCACTTTCCGACTAAACTCTTCACAGCAGTGCCACATTTTCTGGGTCATTAAATGTGGGTGCCACCGCCCTACCAGCACACCAAAAATCAAATCAATGCGACCACTGACATTACAGCTGGGTAATGTTATAGAGAGGTACATTGAAATTCAAAGGTCAGCACAAATGGTCAAAATCCGACATTTTCTCACCTTCCTGCCCGTTCACAGCTCAGAAAATGACAATGACCAGCCTCATCTCGTTGTGCAGCTGGACGTAGACAAGTGCACCAAGAAAAAGAGCCACATTTCTCTAAAGAACTCGCCCAGGGCTGCTGAGCCCTGAAAAATAACCAGTCTCACAGTTTGGGGCTTTTTACCCGTGAATCTTCACTTTGCGACTAAACTATTCACAGCAGTGCCACATTTTCTTGGTCACTGAATGTGGGTGCCAGCGCCCTACAAGCAAACCAAAAATCAAATCAATGCGACCACTGACATTACAGCTGGGTCATGTTATAGAGAGGTACATTGAAATTCAAAGGTCAGCACAAATGGTCAAAATCCGACATTTTCTCACCTTGCTGCCCGTTCACAGCTCAGAAAATGACAATTACCAGCCTCATCCCGTTGTGCAGCTGGACATAGACAAGTTCACGAAGTAAACGAGCCACATTTCTGTAAAGAACTCGCCCAGGGCTGCTGAGCCCCGAAAAATAACCAATCTCCCAGTTTGGGGCTTTTTACAAGTGAATCTTCACTTTGCGAATAAACTATTCACAGCAGTGCCACATTTTCTGTGTCACTGAATGTGGGTGCCAGCGCCCTACAAGCAAACCAATAATCAAATCAATGCGACCACTGACATTACAGCTGGGTCATGTTATAGAGAGGTACATTGAAATTCAAAGGTCAGCCTAAATGGTCAAAATCCGACAATTTCTCCCCTTCCTGCCCGTTCACAGCTTAGAAAATGACAATGACCAGCCTCATCTCGTTGTGCAGCTGGACATAGACAAGTGCATCAAGAAAATGAGCCGCATTTCTCTAAAGAACTTGCCCAGGGCTGCTGAAAGCTGAAAAATACCTAATCTCACAGTTTGGGGCTTTTTACCGATGAATCTTCACTTTGCGACTAAACTATTCACAGCAGTGCCACATTTTCTGGGTCACTGAATGTGGGTGCCAGCGCCCTACAAGAAAACCAAAAATCAAATCAACGCGACCACTTACATTACAGGTGGGTCATGTTATAGAGAGGTACATTGAAATTCAAAGGTCAGCACAAATGGTCAAAATCCGACATTTTCTCACCTTGATGCCCGTTCACAGCTCAGAAAATGACAATGACCATCCTCATCTCCTTCTGTAGCTGGACATAGACAAGTGCACCAAGAAAAACAGCCACATTTCTCTAAAGAACTTGCCCAGGGCTGCTGAAAGCTGAAAAATAACCAATCTCACAGTTTGGGGCTTTTTACCCGTGAATCTTCACTTTGCGACTAAACTATTCACAGCACTACCAATTTTTTTGGGTCACTGAATGTGGGTGCCAGCGCCCTACAAGCAAACCAAAAATCAAATCAATGCGACCACTGACATTACAGCTGGGTCATGTTATAGAGAGGTACATTGAAATTCAAAGGTCAGCACAAATGGTCAAAATCCGACATTTTCTCACCTTCCTGCCCGTTCACAGCTCAGAAAATGACAATGACCAGCCTCATCCCGTTGTGCAGCTGGACATAGACAAATTCACGAAGTAAACGAGCCACATTTCTGTAAAGAACTCGCCCAGGGCTGCTGAGCCCCGAAAAATAACCGATCTCACAGTTTGGGGCTTTTTACCCGTGAATCTTCACTTTGCGAATAAACTATTCACAGCAGTGCCACATTTTCTGTGTCACTGAATGTGGGTGCCAGCGCCCTACAAGCAAACCAATAATCAAATCAATGCGACCACTGACATTACAGCTGGGTCATGTTATAGAGAGGTACATTGAAATTCAAAGGTCAGCCTAAATGGTCAAAATCCGACAATTTCTCCCCTTCCTGCCCGTTCACAGCTTAGAAAATGACAATGACCAGCCTCATCTCGTTGTGCAGCTGGACATAGACAAGTGCATCAAGAAAATGAGCCACATTTCTCTAAAGAACTTGCCCAGGGCTGCTGAAAGCTGAAAAATACCTAATCTCACAGTTTGGGGCTTTTTACCCGTGAATCTTCACTTTGCGACTAAACTATTCACAGCAGTGCCACATTTTCTGGGTCACTGAATGTGGGTGCCAGCGCCCTACAAGAAAACCAAAAATCAAATCAACGCGACCACTTACATTACAGGTGGGTCATGTTATAGAGAGGTACATTGAAATTCAAAGGTCAGCACAAATGGTCAAAATCCGACATTTTCTCACCTTGATGCCCGTTCACAGCTCAGAAAATGACAATGACCATCCTCATCTCCTTCTGTAGCTGGACATAGACAAGTGCACCAAGAAAAACAGCCACATTTCTGTAAAGAACTTGCCCAGGGCTGCTGAAAGCTGAAAAATAACCAATCTCACAGTTTGGGGCTTTTTACCCGTGAATCTTCACTTTGCGACTAAACTATTCACAGCACTACCAAGTTTTTTGGGTCACTGAATGTGGGTGCCAGCGCCCTACAAGCAAACTAAAAATCAAATCAATGCGACCACTGATAATAGAGCTGGGTTATGCTATAGAGAGGTACATTGAAATTCAAAGGTCAGCACAAATGGTCAAAATCCGACATTTTCTCACCTTCCCTCCCGTTCACAGCTCAGAAAATGACAATGACCAGCCCCATCTCGTTGTGCAGCTGGACATAGACAAGTTCACCAAGTAAACGAGCCACATTTCTGTAAAGAACTCGCCCAGGGCTGCTGAGCCCCGAAAAATAACCAATCTCACAGTTTGGGGCTTTTTACCCGTGAATCTTCACTTTGCGACTAAACTATTCACAGCCGTGCCACATTTTCTGGGTCACTGAATGTGGGTGCCAGCGCCCTACAAGCAAACCAAAAATCAAATCAACGCGACCACTTACATTACAGCTGGGTCATGTTATAGAGAGGTACATTGAAATTCAAAGGTCAGCACAAATGGTCAAAATCCGACATTTTCTCACCTTGATGCCCGTTCACAGCTCAGAAAATGACAATGACCAGTCTCATCTCGTTGTGCAGCTGGACATAGACAAGTGCACCAAGAAAAAGAGCCACATTTCTCTAAAGAACTTGCACAGGGCTGCTGAAAGCTGAAAAATAACCAATCTCACAGTTTGGGGCTTTTTACGCTTCAATCTTCACTTTGCGACTAAACGTTTCACAGCAGTGCCACATTTTCTGGGTCACTGAATGTGGGTGCCAGCGCCCTACAAGCAATCCAAAAATCAAATCAATGGGACCACTGACATTACAGCTGGCTCATGTTATAGAGAGGTAAATTGAAATTCAAAGGCCAGCACAAATGGTCAAAATCCGACATTTTCTCACCTTGCTGCCCGTTCACAGCTCAGAAAATGACAATGACCAGCCTCATCTCGTTGTGCAGCTGGACATAGACAAGTGCACCAAGAAAAACAGCCACATGTCTCTAAAGAACTTGCCCAGGGCTGCTGAAAGCTGAAAAATAACCAATCTCACAGTTTGGGGCTTTTTACCCGTGAATCTTCACTTTGTGACTAAACTATTCACAGAACTGCCAAGTTTTTTGGGTCACTGAATGTGGGTGCCAGCGCCCTACAAGCAAACCAAAAATCAAATTACGCGACCACTTACATTACAGCTGGGTCATTTTATAGAGAGGTACATTGAAATTCAAAGGTCAGCACAAATGGTCAAAATCCGACATTTTCTCACCTTGATGCCCTTTCGCAGCTTAGAAAATGACAATGACCAGCCTCATCTCGTTGTGCAGCTGGACATAGACAAGTGCACCAAGAAAAAGAGCCAACTTTCTCTAAAGAACTTGCCCAGGGCTGCTGAAATCTGAAAAATTACCAATCTCACAGTTTGGGGCTTTTTACCCGTGAATCTTCACTTTGCAACTAAACTATTCACAGCAGTGCCACATTTTTTGGGTCACTGAATGTGGGTGCCAGCGCCCTACAAGCAAACCAAAAATCAAATCAATGCGACCACTGAAAATTTCAGCTGGGTCATGTTATAGAGAGGTACATTGAAATTGAAAGGTCAGCACAAATGGTCAAAATCCGACATTTTCTCACCTTCCTGCCCGTTCACAGCTCAGAAAATGACAATGACCAGCCTCATCTCGTTTTGTAGCTGGACATAGACAAGTGCACCAAGAAAAAGAGCCACATTTCTCTAAAGAACTCGCCCAGGGCTGCTGAAAGCTGAAAAATAACCAATCTCACAGTTTGGGGCTTTTTACCTGTGAATCTTCACTTTGCGACTAAACTATTCACAGCAGTGCCACATTTTCTGGGTCACTGAATGTGGGTGCCAGCGCCCTACAAGCAAACCAAAAATCAAATCAATGCGACCACTGACATTACAGCTGGGTCATGTTATAGAGATGTACATTGAAATTCAAAGGTCAGCACAAATGGTCAAAATCCGACATTTTCTCACCTTCCTGCTTGTTCACAGCTCAGAAAATGTCAAAGACCATCCTCATCTCCTTGTGTAGCTGGATATAGACAAGTGCACCAAGAAAAAAAGCCACATTTCTCCAAAGAACTTGCCTAGGGCTGCTGAAAGCTGAAAAATAACCAATCTCACAGTTGGGGGCTTTTTACCCCTGAATCTTCACTTTGCGACTAAACTATTCACAGCAGTGCCACATGTTCTGGGTCACTGAATGTGGGTGCCAGCGCCCTACAAGCATACCAAAAATCAAATCAATGCGACCACTCACATTACAGCTGGCTCATATTATAGAGAGGTACATTGAAATTCAAAGGTCGGCACAAATGGTCAAAATCCGACATTTTCTCACCTTCCTGCCCATTCACAGCTCAGAAAATGACAATGACCAGCCTCATCTCGTCGTGCAGCTGGACATAGACAAGTCCACCAAGAAAAGGAGCCACAATTCTCTAAAGAACTTGCACAGGGCTGCTGAAAGCTGAAAAATAACCAATCTCACAGTTTGGGGCTTTTTACCCGTGAATCTTCACTTTGCGACTAAAACATTCACAGCAGTGCCACACTTTCTGGGTCACTGAATGTGGGTGCCAGCGCCCTACAAGCAAACCAAAAATCAAATCAATGCGACCACTGACATTACAGCTGGGTCATGGTATAGAGAGGTACATTGAAAGTCAAAGATCAGCACAAATGGTCTAAATCCGACATTTTCTCACTTTCCTGCCCGTTCGCAGCTCAGAAAATGACAATGACCAGCCTCATCTCCTTGTGTAGCTGGACATAGACAAATGCACCAAGAAAAAGAGACCCATTTCTCTAAAGAACTTGCCCAGGGCTGCTGAAAGCTGAAAAATAACCAATCTCACAGTTCGGGGCTTTTTACCCGTGAATCTTCACTTTGCGACTAAACCATTCACAGCATTGCCAAATTTTCTGAATCACTGAATATTGGTGCCAGCGCCCTACAAGCAAACCAAAAATCAAATCAATGCGACCATTGACATTACAGCTGGGTCATGTTATAGAGAGGTACATTGAAATTCAAAGGTCAGCACAAATGGTCAAAATCCGACATTTTCCCACCTTCCTGCCCGTTCACAGCTCAGAAAATGACAATGACCAGCCTCATCTTGTTGTGTAGCTGGACATAGGCAAGTGCACCAAGGAAAAGAGCCACATTTCTCTAAAAAAACTCGCCCAGGGCTGCTGAACCCTGAAAAATAACCAATCTCACAGTTTGGGGCTTTTTACCCGTGAATCTTCACTTTTCGACTAAACCGTTCACAGCAGTCCCAAATTTTCTGGTTCACTGAATGAGGATGCCAGCGGCCTACAAGCAAACCAAAAATCAAATCAATGCGACCACTGACATTACAGCTGGGTCATGTTATAGAGAGGTACATTGAAATTCAAAGGTCAGCACAAATGGTCAAAATCCGACATTTTCTCACCTTCCTGCCCGTTCACAGCTCAGAAAATGACAATGACCATCCGCATCTCCTTGTGTAGCTGGACGTAGACAAGTGCACCTAGAAAAAGAAAATCCCAACGTGTCTCTGACTCTCTGTGTGGCCGTCCTATGCCACGAGAAACTCCAATCAGGCTCCTATGTCGTCTGCCTTCTTGATTGAATGTCCACTTCTTTTGAACAACGAACATAGCAATCGAGGACGGCTTTGCAATGAAAAATACAGCTATACTGGAGCTGAAAAATGAAGAAAAAACGTGCTCAGGATCAGACTCGAGTACACGCGTACTCTCCCAGCAGGTTTTGTGGATGTCGCTCTTATAATGCGTAATTTCGCGTGACGAAGCAGGCGTGTAGCACCGCCGTTGGTGGTGGTCCGACCAGGGGGGTCCGGGGGGATGTGCCCCTGTAATGTTTTTGAAATTAGGGTGCAAAATCCTGCATTCTGGGCACTTTGGGCACTGTTTTACTATGGTTGTCGTGGTCGGGCGAAAAAGTGGTCCGGCCAAAGCCGGACCGGCCGGAGCGGCTGCTACGCCCCTGCGAAGTTTGGAGCTTTTTTACCCGGCAATCTTCACTTTGCGACTTTTCTGGGTCACAGAATGTGGGGGCCAGCGCTCTACAAGCAAACCAAAAATCAAAACAACTATGAGGTCTATAATCTATTTATCGTATACTCCACGCAAGGTTTCTCTTCATGTGCGACATATCATTGTAATGTTTTAAAGTATACTATAACCTATAGCACATTGTACAGCATTGCAGGATCAAGGTCATTGTTTACGCTAGGTTCAGCATCGGTAGCACAGCGCCTGGGTTGCAAGGAAGAGTGACTGAGATTCACATGGTTATGGGTTGAATCCCCTCTTGTGTACATCTGTTTTGTTCAAAATTTTCTTTTCTAAGTAATAGTTGGAGAGACATTGTATGTGTCCAAGAGGTTCTAAGGAGTCAAATATTAATAGTCAAGTATAACTGCGTATTTGACTAAGCAGTCCAATACGCGATATATTTGACCGCTTAGGTATCAGGGAAATCAGTTGGGTCAAAATACTAAGAATGCGATAATGATAGTTATTGTGTAATAAAATTGATATTAGCGGCATGCCCAGTGCTGTACTTGCACGGCTATTCTTCGACCTCCCATTTCTCCCAAGTCCGAGGCGATAAGGAGCAGACGGGAAATATCTCTCTCACCTTGAACGGTTGTGGCAGTGTAACGTAGACATACTTGTCAGCTGCTGCATCCCCTTCGTAGCTAAGCTATTTACGGACCATGTGCGCCGCTTGCCACAAACTGCCACAAACTATCCTGCTCTGACAATATTCTTCTAATCCCATAGAAGTTAGAGTCAGAGGCAAATAGTAAGATTGTGCAAATATTATAACTTGCGTTACGGAGACAACACGTGTTGTGTAGATACGCAGGATGATCTAGTCTGGTTGGAGACAGGACATACGATGACATTATTATAGTGATTGCAGGCATCACCTCTACTCCTTCCTCGACCACAGTCAGTCTGTGACTGTGAGAGATTTCTGCATTAGTTTCTACAGAAATACGTAACAGTTATTACTAGTTCGATCTGCATATCCTGACTGTACTGTAGAGTGTAGTGTAGGCTAGCTAGCTGTGCACATGTGCAACGCGGGAATACCATCATCATGATCATGCATGATGCAGCTGCACAGTGCACGGGACGGTTTTTGCGCGCCATGGCCATGCATGCGCCAGTGTGTTTCCTTGCTGCCACTGACTCTGTATACATGTAGACTGTACTGAGTCTGTGAGTGTGAGTGCTGCTAGTGCTAGGTCGGCGCGCGTGGCCAGATCATGTAGATCACTAGATGTGGATCTTCTCCAGGCATTGGCCATTGCCATTGCCGGCATTGGTAGTTCTACTCGCAGCGCTATCTAGTGTAGATCTACACCCTGCCCATGGCATCCGGTAGACAACTGAGTTCTGCAAAGACCGGAAGTGTGCTTGGCCACCATATGCATAGATCATGTAGATCTACCACTGACAGGTAACCCAGTCATGTACGTACATTTTACTGACGGTGATCTCCTGCGCGCGTCAAAGAAACGCTTCCGCAGTGCAGTGATCGCCGTGGCCAATGGCAATGCCGTGACCATGGTGACCTGGTAACTGGGGTGTGAACTGAAGTGAAGCACTGAAGGAAAGACCAGAGAGCGCAGCTATGCACGAATCCAGTACAGTTTCAGTACATTCGTAGCGGGGGGGATCTCGGGCGCGGGGATTACAGCGTGCAGCCGCTGGTCCGTGTGTGCCTAGCGAAATGCTTCACATGCACACTCATCACCATGCATGATCACAGGTTTCAGAACTAGAAGTGAGCAAGAAAGATTTCGATCAACTCTCGTCTCTCGATCTCCGCGTACTAGATCTACTGCTACTAGTACTAGTACTACAGTCCATTCAGAAAAAGATGAGCGCTGGCTCTGGAGAGCTCCCGTGTTTGGC